ACAAGTGCTACTCTACTGCCCAAAACTTGCGTTTGAATCATCAGTTGCAATTCCTGTAAATATGAAAACGTACTTACAGTCTGTGAGTCAGAACAGCCGGCATTGTAGTCTAATCTTCCGGGATCAGGAAACAGTCCTCCATAAAATGTGCTGCACACATCTGAATATTTGGATTAAACTGTTCTAGAACAGTGTTGTAAATACAACTTAACCACTGATTTCTAGTCATGTCCTCTTTTGGAAGGCCAAACAATGTAGTTCCCTTTCAAGGGAACTTCGAACTGCATCCTCTAGGGGTCACTATGGGGAACGCCTCATCATGACCCGTGTCTGAAGCATACATTGAAAAAACACCAACAACACATTGGCCGGCGACAGGCCATGACATCACTACCGGTGCGATTATAGTATAAAATAGGCGCCGGGAGAACATGTCATTCTCTTCTTCGTCTTCACTGACCGTTTTGTTTAAAGCGTGCATTTCCGTTGTAGGGATTTCTAAATATGAACGGACACTGATATCAGCCATCATGAGGTCCGGATTAATTTAATCAAGAGTTGCCACAGAGATCTTTTGTATGAGGACTGAAAATACCTTGTGAAGCCTCGTGATCCAATGAAAAGAACTATTATATGTATGCACAGGAAGCGGCTATGTTAATCAGGCCCTCGGGCCGGCAAGCACGGGATATCTATGCATGACGGTCACATGTCTTGTGACCACCTACTTCCTGCCCTGTCTGAAACCCGCGTCCTTATGTTACAACAAAAGAAACAGAACCTTGCATGACGATTGTAAAAGATAAATCATTTAAAAAGTAGTGAAAATGTATCCACTGCATGTGTTATGCCGTATATATATATATATATACTGTATATATATATATATATGTGTGATGTATTTATTGGAATCTATGATATTTTTTATATTTGCCTTATAGGCATGACGAAGCGGATATCGTCCTCTTTTGGAAGACCAAACAAAGTAGTTTCGCTTTCACAACGAAGCACACAGCGTCTTCAGGACATGGCTGCAGCGTCAACAATACTACAGCAAGAATAAAAGTTACGCCTTCATTCTTTGCGTGAACATTTGGGAGGTGTTATGCAAATCTTCCCAGATCATGATGTAGGTATGTGGGGGGTGTTAGAACGAGCCGTTTTAGGTAGGCGTGGTTAACTCTTAACTTTTATAAAGAATATCTCTTTGGTTTTGAGACTTTAGTGTTTGCAACTTTACAGATCTTCTTTATGCACCAAGAGCTTGTAACATTCCAAAGAGAAAGGAAAAATTTTAATCGCATCATATGACCCCTTTAAGGAGCTGCACACAGCGAGTCAGCGACTGACCTGGCTCTGCATGGTTAGAAAGCCACTGTGCAGGCAATTGGCAAGGCCATGGCCAACCAACTTAACAGAGATCAAGGACACTGACAAGGTCGGCTCCCTTCCTCGGCTCCCCTGTGTCCCCTGTTTTCCTATCACACAGGTTGCTTACAGGTCACTGTTGCCACCTGGAGCACCTTGGACTGAAAATAAATTTAGCAAAAGCGCTCTCTCCCAACCAGTAAATTGTCTTCCTGGGGACAGTTATCTTCTCAGCCAGGATGAGGGGCTGGCTTTTGCCTGCTTTATATGTGGCTTGGGCGTCCCTGCCCTGCAGGAATGGATTGTGTCTGCCTAATTTACCTAATCCCCTGTTAGGTGGAGAAGGACTTGATGTGTAGACCCTAGAGCAGGGGTGCCCAACCCTGCTCCTGGTGATCGACTGTCCTGCAAAGTTTAGCTCCAACTCTAATCAAAGACACCTGCCTTTAATTTTTAAGTGATCCTGAATACCCTAATTAGTTGCTTCAGGTGTGTTTGATTAGGGTTGGAGCTGAACTTTGCAGGAGAGTCGATCGCCAGGAGCAGGGTTGGGCACCCCTGCCCTAGAGGGTGGCTTGGTCTCATGCATTTAAGGAGCCCTCATTATGGGCACTCAGGAGCTGGGCTTGCAGAGCGGCTTCGTTCTGCACTTGCTATTGGATGCGTTCCCCATTAGCGAATCAATGCAAACCAGAGAGACCATTTGATAGGAAACACTGCGGTTACTGATGTAACCTCAGTTCCCTGAGATAAGGGAACGAGAGTTGCATAGGTGCCCATGCTCTAAGTCTGCACACGAGTTGATGACTGTCACTATCAGTTGAAAGATTATGACAAAATGGCTCTCAGAGGCGACTCATATAGTAAGCGAGCTGAAGTGTCATTTGTTCATACAGCTACACATGAACAAATCGGACTTCAGTATCAGAGTAAACGGTTTCCCTATAAGCTTATCAACTCAACGCTTATTGCATTATCTCAGGGAACTGAGGTTACGTGAGCAACCGGAGAGTTATCCATTTATTTTTGTAAGCAAGCCCAGGTGAGCAACAAATGACCATGGTATGAGACATTTTATTTCATTATATCTAATTTAATATA